AAGAGTGTCTGTGTGTGTGCCTGTGCAAAGAAAAAAAATTGATTGCAAAGTTTGATTTGTTTGTTTTTGTTCAAAGGCAAATACAAACACGATTAAGGGGGAGCCAAATTTTGTTGTGTACTACTCCCACCAGGCAAAATATTGAAGGAAAAGAAAATTTTGAAATAAAATAATTGCAAAGAAATTGTGAAAAATTAACAACTAATAAAAATTATCAGTGATTTTAAAGTGTTTGAAGGTATTATCGCCCAAAACAACAACAACATAATAACAAGTGCAAAAATTTGTTTGTTCGAGCAAAACCAAACAAAATAATATACACAAAAGAAAAAACACCCCTTAAAAGAAGAAATAAAATCAAAGGGAGAAGAAGAAGAATTACAACAAAAAAGGGGGTTGATTTGTATTTTCTGTGTGGCAATTTCAGTGTTTGTGGTGTTGTTGTTGCTGCATTTTATGTGTCAGTCTGAATTCGAGCTGAACCTTGCCTCTGAAATCAAGTGAATAATTGAGTCAGTCAGTCGTTCATTCGTCAGACCAAGTGGTGGACAACCCAGCCAGAGAATTCCAAAACAAAACGGAACAGGAAAAAAAAATAATTCAACGAGAGCCCTGCTGCTGATATCATCCATCGTATTTTTTCCCATTGCAACCTGCCGAACCTGCTGCCACTAATTTTCGCTTGAAAAGCTAACCCAAACGCAAACCTTTGTGGATATTATTTCCTCCTCTTTGGCAAGACAGTGGGCCATGCGTGAACTCGGTTCCAAAATGGCCGAGCTTAAATTCGAGGCTCCTCTGGCAAAAATGGACGAAACCGATGATTGGGCCGGTTGCGATTTCATTTCCAATCAGAACACCATCAATGACTCGTTGAATTTGAATCTCAAGGATCCGATGATGGCCCAGGAGAATAAAATCCGTTTGTTGGAGGAGGCCGTTCGGGATGCTCATGTCAGCAAAAATGGTGGTGGCGGTGGCGTCTATGGTGGCGTCAATGGCACCATTAGTCCCAATTGCAATACCATGCTGAGCAATGAAATGACCACAATGGGATTGGATGGTGGTAACACCACCTCCTCATCGTCGGCGGCCATTGATTCGAAGAGTCTTTTGGATGCCGCTGATAATTTCAGTGAGGCTTTCGGTGGTAGCCTCGAAGATTTGGTCAATACCTTCGATGAGAAGATCACCAAATGTTTTGGTAATTTTGAGGAAAATGTTGAGGCGCTGGCGCCCGTACAAGTACGCAGTCAGGATGAGATTATGAATGAATGCCAGTAAGTATGAAAAAAAGAAAAACCAAAAATAATAATAAAAAAATTAAAAAAAAATAAAAATTTTTTGAAACTAAATTTCTCCTTGGTGATAGTTTTAAGTTTGCCGAGGAATGGAGTCATCATCGAACTACTTACCCTCACCCTTCTTGACTTTATTTTCTCATTTTCGTGCTCTTCTTCTGAGAGAATTTTCTGAGAGAGCCACTGGGGGGGTTTTTCTCTATTTTTGGGGCGCATGCCCAGGACTTCGTCCTGTTGAAATGTTGCGATAATCCAAACTAAATGTGTGTGTTATCATGGAGGGGAGCCCCTTCCTTCCTCCTTGTCCACCCGTTAAAATTAAGTTAAAGGAAAAAACCCTGCCCTGTTTTCATTTCAATGGAAACTCAATCAAGGGTTTTCGGAAATTGATTGATAATTATGGGATAATGGGACGTGTAATAAATAAAAACGGAGACTAAGTTGGAGATTTTTTATTCATTTGGGGGCAAAATGGCAAAGAAAAAAACAAACAAATTAATTCAGCAATTTTTTTTCAATTCAGCAAAAGAAATATTAAAATTTTACCAGCTGAATTACAATTTTATTTGTAGATAAAACGATTACATGCAAAAAAATTGATATTCAGCTAATTTTTTTAAGAATTCAGCAAGGGAAAATCATAATTTTTTCACTTGTCGTGCAATTCTATGCATAAATAATGCGATTGTAATACAAATTTTTGCTATTCAGCTAATATTTCAACAATTCAGCAAAGGAGAAAATCAACATTCGTCTTTAAAATTTAATTCACCAAAGGAAAGATTAAAATTTTGCCAGCTGAATTACATTTTTATTTATAAATAAACTGATATAAATAAAAAAAATTTCATATTCAGCTAATTTTTCAACAATTCAGCAAGGGAAAATCGAAAAATTTTCCACCTTTCTTGCAATTTTATGCATAAATATGTGATTGCAATAAACATTTTTGATATTCAGCTAATTTTTCATCAATTCAGCAATGAAAAAAATGTATTTTTGGCTTAAAAATTCAATTCAGCAAAGAAGGAATTAAATTTTTAGAGCTGAATTGCAATATTATTGCTAAATAAAGCCATTTAAATTCACAATTTCAACAATTCAGCAATGAAAAAATCTATTTTTTTGCTTAAAATTAAATTCAGCAAGAGAAAAATGAATATTTAACAGTTGAATTGCAACGAAATTTGTCAAAAAATCGATTCTGTGCTATAATATTGCAATTCAGCTAATATTTAAAAGAATTCAGCAACGATAAAAATATTAAAATTTACCTTTCCACGATTCTTAAAAAACAATATTGGTTAAAAAGTCAACAAGTAGTTGTTATTTGCCGAAAATATTGCTATTCAGCTAATTTGAATGCAATTCAGCAAAAGAAAATCGACTTTAAAATGCATATTACATTAGCTGAATTAAGTTTCATTCGCTGTATTCATCATAATTGATTGCAAGAATTATTATTCGTTGCTGAGTTATGTTTTTAATAGCTGAATATCAAAATTCATTACCTTAATTGATATTTTTAAAAATTTTCTCATAGCTGAATTGAATTTTTGTTAGCTGAATTAAGATTTTCTTAGCTGAATTAAGTTTTTCGTAGCTGAATAAACCTTTTCATAGATAAATATCAAAATTCACTAGCTGAATTGGTATTTTTATCAATGAATGCAAGATTTTCTTAGCTGAATTAAGTTTTTTCGTAGCTGAATAAGAATTTTCAGGGATAAATATCAAAATTCATTAGCTGAATTAATATATTTATCCAAATTTTCTCAGCTTAATACAGTTTTTGGTAGCTGAATAAGCATTTTCACGAAAAAATATCAGAATTCATTAGCTGAATTGATATTTTTATCAATTTTATCTTAGTTGAATTTAGTTTTTCTTAGCTGAATGCAAGATTTTCTTAGCTGAATTAGGTTTTTCATAGCTGAATAAGAGTTTTTATTGATAATTATCAAAATTCGTTAGTTGAATTGACATTTTTCTCAATTTCCTCTTAGCTGAATTGAGTTTTTCTTAGCTGAATGCAAGATTTTCTTAGCTGAATAGTGTTTTTCTTAGCTGAATAGATAATTATCAAAATTCATTAGCTGAATTGATATTTCTATCAATTCTCTTGGCCAAATTGAGATTTTCTTTGCTGAATTGAGTTTTTCTGAGCTGAATTGAGTTTTTCTTAGCTGAATTATGTTTTTGTTGATAGAATTTACATTTTACCCACTCAGTCATGTACCTAAAGACCCCATATAAGGTATGTTACATACGAAAAAGAAATATTGGAACCTTTTACGGACATCCTGCTTAGTTTTTTGGGAATTAACAAAATTTCGTATTCAATTTCAAATTACAAGGGAAATAAAAAAACAAAAACAATTACTTACTTCAATTAAACAATGATGTCAAGCTATGGGACAAGGCGTATTAACATTTCACAAAAGAATAAGAATTATGTAGTTTTTTCCATTTATTGAAATGTGCTCGAAAAAGAAGTGGGTCTCCGAGAATAATAAAAAATTATACAATTGACAATAATAACAACAACAATGGCCATTCAAATTGTCATAAAGTTCAGAGAGTTCATTGTTGGACAGCACCACAACAAAAAACGAAGGGCTTCACAGTTAGAATGGAAGACGTAGATGGTTGACGACGATGATGATGATGAACTGTCAAGAACATAAGTAGGAAGTAGCAATGTGCGGGTCGGACTACTCCCCTCCCCATCCCCTTTCCCTACCACATGATTTAGAAATATGTGGAAAGAACACGACATCACATGGATCATCACAAAAATGTCGTTCAGTAAAAAAATGTAATTGTCTGCCCTGCCTCCCTATCTCGCAAGCGGTAATTTATTGTAGGCCAGTGGAAAAAATTCTAGCAGAGAAGCATCTACCGCGCCTCATGGATGATTCCGATGCTGATGGCGATGTCACACAAAATAATAATCATAATTTAAATAGTTAAACAATTTATTTATTTATTGCAAAATAGTCGGATAGTCGGGGGCTCAGCAGACCTGGAGAAGCTACTAGACAGTCCGACAATCCAGCAGTCAGTAACACAGTCAGCAGTTCTAAAGAAAAAAGAAATGAGGAAACTGAAAATAAATATTGTAATCAACAACGACAACAAAATTCAAATAAAACAAAGTCAACAAGCAACAACAACAACAATAACGAGGGAAATTTTATATGTAATGATGTCATACACAATTTTTTTATTAGCGATTAAACATACTTACGAGCGGCGGGTGGGAAGGGGTCATAAACAAATGTTTTTGTTTTTATTTTCTTCTTTTCATTTTTATAAATTAAAGACAAGGACAATTTGTAATCCAGGGGTCAACCTATCAGAGTAATTAGAATTTCTTGTTTGTTGCCATCATTGTGAATCATTTTGGGCGGAATATGTCATATCAGGCGGACTTTGTTATATTCAGCGGTGAAAACAATTAATTCAGCTAAGAAAAATTTGAATTCAGCTGAAAGAAACCTTATTCAGCTAGGAAAAATGAGATCAGCTAACTAATTTTAAGTTAGCAAAAATTCAATTCAGCTACGAAATATTTAATTCAGCTAATTAGTTTTAGAGAAAACTATTTTGGTCATAAATTTTGTTATTCAGCCACCAAAAAATCTATTCAGCTATGAAAAAATCAATTCAGCTAGGAAAAATATCATCTACCTTTTTCTTTATAAAGGAAAATATAGTAACAGGTAGTAAATTTGTATATTCAGCTATGAAAAACGTTATTCAGCAACGAAAAACTTAATTCAGCTAAGAAAAAATTGAATATGTTTAACGAAAACATAATTCAGCTAAGTATTTATTAAGAAAAATATCCATTCAGCTATTAAATTTTGATATTCAGCTATGAAAAACGTTATTCAGACACGAAAAACCTAATTCAGCTAGGAAAAAATTGAAAATATTTAAGGAATACATATTTCAACTAGGTTTTTATTAAGAAAAATACCCATTCAGCTATTAAATTTTAATATTCAGCTATGAAAAATGCTATTCAGCAACGAAATAACTAATTCAGCTAAGAAAATATCGAATTTATCTAAGGAAAACATAATTCAGTTAGGTATTTATTAAGAAAAATATCCATTCGGCTATTAAATTTATATATTCAGCTATGAAAAATGTTATTCAGCAATGGAAAATCTAATTCAGCTAAGAAAATATTGATAATATTTAAGGAAAACTTAATTCTGCTAAGTAATTATTAGGATAAATATCGATTCAGCTATTAAATTTTGATATTCAGCTATGAAAAATGTAATTCAGCAATGAAAAACCTAATTCAGTTAAGAAAATACTGAAAATATTTAAGGAAAACTTAATTCAGCTAAGTAATTATTAAGATAAATATCGAATCAGCTATTAAATTTTGATATTCAGCTATGAAGAATGTTATTCAGCAACAAAAAACCTAATTCAGCTAAGAAAATATAGAATATATCTGAGAAAAACATAATTCAGCTAAATATTTACTGATACAAAAATAAAATTAGCTATTAAATTTTTATATTCAGCTGTGAAAAATGTTATTCAGCAACGAAAAACCTAATTCAGCTAACAATTATGCATATTCAGCTGCATGAAACCCAATTCAGCTAAACGAAAATTTGACAGATTGATAAAATATAGCTAAATTATTTAATTCAGCTAACAATTATGGATATTCAGCTACTAAAAACCCAATTCAGCAAGGCATAAAAACGTTAGTATGTTAAATTAGAACAACTGATTAAGAAATTGTTATTCAGCAAACGAAAAACTTAATTCAGCTAAGCTAAAATAAATAAAATAAAGTCTAAATGATCAATAGGAGTGACATTTTTGAATTCAGCTAACAATTGTGGATATTCAGCTACTTAAAACCCAATTCAGCTAACCGAAAATATGACAAAATTTTCCAAGAAAGCTAAATTATTAAATTCAGCTAACATTTATGCCTATTCAGCTACT